GTAGGACATGGCAAAAGACCTTGAAATGTCTTTGCTGGATTGATGTTGAACATGCAAAACACAATTTCATGAATTTGCCCCCATATTGACCAATTACCACATTATTTTGTCGGTGTAACCATTGAACACAAGACCTGACAACAGAATGAGTTACAAGAGCACGTCAAAAATTAAGGAATCCTTTAAATACAGGTATTCTCAGACCAGTCTCTTCTATTGCAATTCTAATTCACTTTAGAAATGTTTTACTTATAGTAAAGATCTTAATTTAGGCCTCAGATTAACTTGTGAAAGCAAAGTAGAAACACTATTGAGTTTTGCTATGGCGTCGCCGTGTCGGATGTCATGGCACCGGCGATATGAGTCACGGACACGAGTCGGACACGAGAAAGAATATTTTTACACTATACTGTTTCAAAATAAGGGATACAATATGTAAAAATATAAAATAAACACCCACATCCCGTTTGATTTTGCTGATAACTAAGCTATGCTCAATAATTGTTTATTTTAACACATCAATGCAGTGACGCCACCGGCCCGCTTGACGGCTGATCAGCCATACTGGCGACGTTCATGAATATTGTACCAGAAGTCTAGAAATACAATTGAGTATTTGAGAAATTTAATAGTCTAGCATAGCACAAGCGTCACGTTACTTTCTTAAATCAACACAAAAGTTTATGAGTAGACTTAAGGTTTTAACGAGAATTCAGACTTAATTTGGCTCGAGACTGACGTTGCACCACTTCCTATAGTAAGTTCCTACGCGTTGCACCATGACTAACTACCATCAGAAGTCAAGCGAGGTACTGCTGAAAGTAGCCAAAAGAGAACCCACTTTAGCTTTATTTAAATTATGTTTATATAATGAACTTTTTACATTGATTTCAGGTTATAAAAATAAAAAAATTCAAAATTTTAGATATACAAATATCAATTCAAGTAATTTTTGGTGTAATGGATGTGAAGGAGCGTCAAAGAATCAGCTCAGATGAACTAGATACGGAATAATCAGCGGAATTAAGCGGCGAAATTGTTGCTATACTATAGGCAAATGGCTCAATACTGAGAGGACTATGTGTTGATGTCAAATTAAACACTCAAGTAGAAGCATAATAATTTTATCATTTCATAATATAATGCATATAAGCCTTTTACAAAACCATGGAAATTCGTTATGTGATACGAAGTTACCTTCCTATATCTCTGATGATCTTGCAGCTAAGTCGAACTATCAATTATTTGTACCAATAGACATTTCTCCTAACTCACCGGTGAAATCACAAGTTCTTCCGCTGAGAGCTTCCCCATTCTGAAAGAATTTGCATGAATTTTAAATTACAGTTATATAATAACAATATGCCCCGGTAGGGATTATCACATATTTTTGCGTCGTTTCGTTCCTGATTAAATCCTAAAAACGCTAGTTTGGGCAAGTAATCAGCTTTTAGCTCCATCATTTCTCATGGGACCTAAATTTAAATATTAATTGGTCACCTGGAGGAGCCTAAGTGACACAATACTCTAAAAATTTCAACATTAACAGGCCATGGACTTGTTGCTTCAGCGCCATCACATATATTTTATTCTATTCTAACTAGGCCCGCATATGAATGAGACATAATTATTGATGTATTGACCAGCCGTTACTAAATATTTATATGAATGCGTACCTTGGGCTACTATCGAGCAAATCAGTGAGTAATAATTTTGCTTCTAACCTGGTGAGGTCAACTATATTGCACTCTATTTCGTGAGCATTAAATTAATCATTTTCATGGTGATACAAGCGATGAGTTATCTTCGAGTATGTCCTGTTGGCAGAGGTGGGCAGTAGCGCGCTACATGTAGCGGCCGCTACATTTTCAGTAGCGGCAGCGGTAGCGGCGCTACATTTAAGGCAATGTAGCGGCAGCGGTAGCGCCCGCTACATATTTAAGTAGCGATACGAGGTTTTGCCGCTACAGCGCTACCGCTACATTTATAGATAAAGCCTTTAGATTTTACTTAATAGTTTTAAATATTATTTAAAAATCAGCATTATACATACATAATATAAATTACAGAATAAAACTGTACGAAAGATTTCGGTGTAATGTTGTCAACTTCAGCCTGTTACTAGTGTCAACATGTTAGTTGTTACTTGTTAAGTTGTTACCAGTTACCACTTACAGTTTAACATTTAAGATTGCTTACAGTTATGTTTAAGATTGCTTACAGTTATTTTTACACAGTTATTTTTATCTTTCACCTTCCCTACATGGATGTCTACTTTAAATCTACCAATCTCAAAAATAATCCACATATATATACAAATAAAAGACTTATTTTTTATATGTATATGTGGATAACTTTTGAGATTGGTAGATTAAAGTAGACATCTATGTAGGGAAGGTAAAACATAAAAATAACTAACTTTTATTTGCTGTATCTAACCCGTACTAGTTCAGTTAGGTTAATTGCAATAAAGTTGCATTGATATGTTTTGAAAATGTTTTATTATTATTAAATGTTTCTGAGTAAATCCCAGTAGCAGAACCATAAATATTTAGAGATTTCCAATAATTTTGGCCATTGTAGCGGGTAATGTAGCGGCGCTACATTTTACTGTAGCGGTAGCGGTAGCGCTCGCTACAATCTAGGGGGTGTAGCGGTAGCGGTAGCACCCGCTACATTTAGAGCATGTAGCGGTAGCGGTAGCGCCGCTACATTCCAAAGTAGCGCTGCCCAGCTCTGCCTGATGGCTCATTTTCTCTAAGGATTTTTAAAGAAACGAACAGTTGATTTATGGCATGATAGGTTCGTTTTTGAAACAAAATAAAAGAATTTTGCTTTAAAAAAATAAAAAAATATCGATGAAAAATATTAATCGCGAGACATACACAATAATCTTTAGTTTATTCACAGTTTTTCTTCACGATTTATACGGATAGTTAAATATTTAATAATTCAAACTTCGAACGCTGTTTCATTGGTGGCTATCGATCAATTATTAAGAGATAACCAATCGTGGTGAAACTGCATTGAGCAATCGATGGAAAGCACCCTATAAATCATCGATGCGTGCCACCTATACTCGCATGTCCTTTATTGGTGTTTCAATGATGATTTTTGGCTGACGTGGCCACCCACCGTTACGCCACCTATAATCTACTATTGCCATCTAAAATCATCGATGCGCCACCTCTAATTTTTATTTGGGCCGTACAGACCACTTCGCAGGCTTAGTTTTCTAATTATTCTCATACGGCGAAGCTGCCTTTGGCAAGGGTAAGATTTTCTCTAATGTTCATTAATGAAGATCATCAGAGACCTGGACTACATTTGCACTCCTAATAAATTCAACAAACTAAAATCTGTCTATAGCTTTGCTGCTCGCGCCAAGCTTCTACTGTTCATAATTTTTCGGAACTGCTTCAATGAAGAACGTACTTTGTTACGTATCCCAATCCCGTGTCTCAATCCCCATATCTCAATCCCCGTATCTCAATTCCCGTATCTTAATCCCCGTATCTCCATCCCCGTATCTCAATCCCCGCACATCAATCCCCCGCCATGCACTTTCGTTCAGTGGAGCCGTTCAAAATACACGATATTGACCTTGCGGCCGAGTCAAAGTGTGTCCAATGAAATTAATGTTGCATATTGATGAATTTGAATGAAATGAATCAAATTAAACTGGTCTCTAAATCGCATTGTGCATTAGTTGTTTCTGCATTCTGCAATAATTTAGGACTAACAATTATAAAACGTTTGCATTATTTCGGAATTTTAAAACTAACACATATAAAACGTTTACATTATTTGGGAATTCATTCAAATATCATTCGGTGATGTCATAGAAGTAATTACTTTACTAATTTATTCAGTTCTGGTTTCCCTTCAGAGGAATTAACTCGGTAAGCATTAAAGGAAATGCCCTCAGCCCGCGTTACTCGCGACCTGGGGTAGTGGCAGGGAGCGGGTTATATATAAGGGCATATATTGTGTTGACTGAACAGACATAAATTGTTTTGACTGGGCAGACATATATTGTGTTGACTGAGCAGACATATATTGCGCTGACTGAGCAGACTTAAATTCCCGCATAACAAAGCAGGAAGCAGACACTTGTTGTTAGGCAGCCGCCAGGCAACGGGCATTAATTATGGTTCAACAGAAAGGAAATATCAGACAACTAAAATGACGCAATAAGTTAGTTGGAAACAGACCTAAAATGTGGCCCAATGCACCCCCAAAACCTCACCCCACACTCCCCTCCCCCAGGCTGCGGGAGGTGCTGCTGTACGTGGTGGCGGCCCTCAGCAGGGACAGCCCCCGCCACTTCACGCGGCGGTGGGGGGAGCTGAAGGAGGCCCTGAAAGAGGCCCGCCTCACCGCCGACGATGTGATGGACTGCGTCGCGGGTTGCCCCGACCACGCGGGGACGGTGGCCGAGCTCGCCGCCCTGACGGAGGACGAGGAATGGCACGTCAGGAACGGTGGGTGACGCGTTGAGTGTACAGGGTTACGTGTTGGGTGTGATGGGTGACGTGTTGAATGTGATGGGTTACGTGTTGGGTGTGATGGGTGACGTGTTGAGTGTGATGGGTTATGTGTTGGATGTGATGGGTGACGTATTAGGTATGATGGGTGACGTGTTGGGTGTGATGGGTGACTTGTTGGGTGACGTGTTGGGTATGATGGGTGACTTGTTGGGCGTGATGGGTGATGTGTTAGGTGAAATAGGTGTTGTGTTGTATGTGATGGATGACGTCTTGGGTGTAATGCGTGATGTGTTGGGTGTGGCGGGGGATGCGCTGACGCTGCAAGAGTTGTGTTAGTCAGACACCGACTAACGCTGATTGTCGCGGGAGAAAGCATAGCGAAATTATGACCAATTGAAAACTCTTCCTTTTTTGTCTTTTTGGCTTTGGTGGTCACGTTGTGGTTGCCCGCAGGTCGCCATATTACTGCAGTGGTTGAAATGTTGAACTACGCCAAAGCATCTCGTGTGGTGGTGGAAATGGAGGCCGCGGCCCTGAGGGGGGCGCCGTGGGGGGCGCTCGTGGAGGCGGCGAGGGGCGTGGAGGTCTCGCTTGAGCTGTCCAGCCCTGACATCTATGCTGCCTTGTGTCTGGACAAAGCTACTCGGTGAGCGCTTCTATTTTTGCTACAACGAAGTGGCAGGCTGGTGAAGCAGGGAGGGGGTACTCTAAGGTATTCTACTTCTATTTAAGGGGGAGTCTACTAAATTATTTTAAATCTAACCTAGGGACACGCAGGGTACTGAATTCTGACTTTTTATTGATGTGCTAATCAATCACTTCCATAGAGAGTTACTACTCAGTTAATTAAGGTAGCACTAAAAGAATGAAACGGATTGTATAAATTTTGACGTAGTTCCTTGCCACAGCACGAGCATGGAGCGCACGTAGCACTGATACGCTTCTTTTGCTGTCCCAAACTGGGTCATGATGACTCACACGAGGACAAAAGTGCATCGTTATTTGGACAAAGTCTCGTTTTTTTCTGAGTGAAGACATTAGTGACCAACCTAATGCAGTTTGGTTGTGCGCAGTCTGGGCGAGTGGCGGTGTCGGGGCGGCGGGCTGTCGGTGCGCTGGTCGGGAGTGTCGGTGAGCGTGGCGGGCAAGACGCTTGTGTCGGAGCTGTCGGGACACTGCGATCCGGGACACATCTTCGCCGTCATGGGACCTTCCGGTGAGACCATCAACTTACATCATTATGAACGTTACTGCATTATGACACAATTTAGATAAATAGGTATGTATAAAGATTAGGGACTTAGACATTGAATGCGACCTGTAGTTTCTGTATAATTTGTTGGTACAGCAGACTAATGTCTTTTCTTCACTACAAATTAAATGTTCAAAATAAAAGTTATATTTCGGCACCTTGAATATGAATTAATGACTATAAAGTGCATCTTTGATGCATATTTGAGTACTGAGTAAACAAGAAACATTACTAACGTACCCTCATTCTAATGAACGATGGCCATCTTAACTTTGTATATGAGATACTTAAAGATTGGTACCTCTGAGGTACGTTAATTTTAATTGTCCATTCGCAACCTCCCAAACGAGTTTTGTTCCAACTTCCAAGTTATAATATCGTGCGTGATGCAGTTGGTAAAATCGTTTCAATAAACTAGAAGTTTTGTAAAAAGCCAACTCTATGGCCCAGTATAAATAAACTAGTTGGAAATTAATCAATTTCTTTTAAATTAAGAATACATGGGTAAATGTTCAATGCAATGTTAAGGCTCGGGAAAGACAACCTTGCTGAACGCTCTGAGCGGCCGAGTGCGGTGTGAGGGCTCCGTATGGCTGGGGGAGCGGCCGCTGTCACGTAAACTGCGACACCTCGTGGGTTACTCCACCCAACACGACCTCTTCCACCCACACCTTCGTCTGCGCCAGATGCTCCAGGTGCAAGATTATTCTCTCGATGGCTGATCTATCACTTTTTCTGGTTTCACCCATAACGCTTATATCTGCATCACTTCCATGTAATTACCATTTGATCTTTTGTTTTAAGATTATAGTGCTATCTGAGTCTGCCATTTGTTTTCATCACTATTCATACTTCATCACTATCCATAATCTGGGCCTATACTTTCAAAAAAAGTTAAGGGACCGTAAGTTCAATAGCAAATCATTGACGGCCTTTCAAGCAAAATCCACCAGTCATAGACAAGAAAATAGAGCGTAAGTACTTACGTTCACTTAGCGAATTTCGAAAGTATGGCCCCTGTGCTACCGAGTTCAGCGTATAAGAGCGTACATTTGCCGTCCAGTTCACCGCGGAGCTGCGGCTGCCCCACGCGATGTCGCAGGCGCAGAAGGCCGCCGCCGTCGACGCCGTCATCGACCTGCTGGGCCTGCAGCACTGCCAGCACACCAGTCAGTCCTGCCATCCTGCCTTGCCTTTACCCTCTGATACAGGACGCGCCATTATCATTATTTGCAGTCTCTATTTTGCTGGCCATTAGCACCCATTTCACTGCATCTTTTATTTTAATCTGTTAATAGCCGGCCATCATCTTTTATTTTAATCTGTTTATTACCTACATCATCTTTTATTTTAATCTGTTCATTGACGGCCCCCATCTTTTTTTAATCTGTATATTGCCGGTCACCATCTTTTATTTTAATCTGTTTATTGCCGTCCATTCTCTTTTATTTTGTTCTGTTTATTGCCGCCCATTATCTTTTATTTTAATCTGTTAATTACCTGCCACCATCTTTTATTTTAATCTGTTCATTGCCGACCATTATCTTCATTTTAATCTGTTCATCGCCTGACATTATGTTTTATTTTAATCTGTTTATTGTCGACCATTATCTTTATTTTAATCTGTTCATCGCCTGACATTATCCTCCCTTTCATGATCTGTCGTGAACGCATAAATCAACGTACTGAGATGGTTTTGGTACCGTTGGATAGATCAGAATGTCAGCTTTAAGATGAGACTAAAAACCGGAAAAGCCGAAATCCAAAATTTTACCCTAGACGCTCCCCTTAAACGTCTTGTACCTAAAATTTTATTTAGCCAAATACGATGTTTCCATCTATTGCCTCATACTTTATTTTCTCGTAATCTGATTAGCTTAGTTCTCATTTGTGTACCTATAAGTTTCTTTTTTTGCCTTTATATGGCGATATGGGCCGAAATTCGCAGTGATCAACGGATTTCTTCCAAACTACTGAACAGATTCGAACGAAATTTTGAATATAAATTCCAAACGGTGACTTTTAGCTCGTGAAAATTTATTCGATTAGGAGTCATGTTGCACGTGTTGTGTACAAATCGTCAAACAAAAAGCTTTTATTATTTGTTGGTATTTATCTTTGTCACCCCTCGCTATTATTGACCCCTCATGTCCCCCCGTCCCCCCAGTGCATCGGGAATGGCTTTTCCGGAATAACCGGAGAAGCCAAAATCCAAAATTTTTAGGCAGGCGCTCCCCTTAATATTTGTTAGTATTTATCTTAGTCACTCCTCGCTATTATTGACCCCTCATGTCCGCAGTCATCGGGGATGCCAGCGTCAGAGGGCTGTCGGGCGGGGAGCGCAAGCGCGCCTCCATAGCGTGCGAGCTGCTCACGGACCCGCCCGTGCTGCTGCTCGACGTAAGTCTTTTTTATTTACTTATATTTATTCATGTTATTTATTTGAAGCGTCATTAAACTCATGTAGGAATTACCCTATTGACTTTTATTTATTCAAGTTACTTATATTCAGCATTTTGAACTTGATGAATCTCGACGTAAGTATTCTTTATTTACTTATATTTATTCATTTAGATTTTTTAAGCATCATTAAACTCATGTTGGAATTATCATATTTACTTTTATTTGTTCGAGTTACTTATATTCAGCAAGGTTAAAATCTATGAATCATCTCGGTAAATGATTCAACTTGCTCTTATTCTCCTAATCTACTTCCATTAACGAATTAACTTCAGTTAACTAATTACTCGATATTCTTGAATTAATAATTGAATAAATCTAGAAGACTGATCTAAGATATCATTAGATATCTTACTTATGACAATATTTGTCTGCATTTTACGTGTATCATTCCTAAATATCATCGTTAAACTCGCATGAAAATGATAGTGATGAGTTCCCTCCTTAGCTCCCACTCTCTCCCTCACCCCCACTCCCTCCCTCAGCACCCACTCCCTCCCTCAGCACCCACTCCCTCCCTCAGCACCCACTCCCTCCCTCAGCACTCCCTCCCTCACCACCCACTCCCTCCCTCAGCACTCCCTCCCTCACCACCCACTCCCTCCCTCACCACCCACTCCCTCCCTCAGGAGCCCACCTCAGGGCTGGACGCCCACGCGGCCCACTCCCTCATCACTAACCTGAAGGCGCTGGCGGTGCAGGAAGGGCGCGCCGTGGTGCTGTCCCTCCACCAGCCCTCCTCCAGGATCTTCCATATGTTGGACACCGTCCTGCTGCTGGCCAAGGGACAGGTCATTGTTGCCATCAATTTGTTGCCGTGTATATCTCTGTTATCACATCATATTTATTAGCATGTCATCTTCGTTATCATATCATCTTTGTTGTCATAGCATCTTTGATGCCGACTGATATTAGTTGCACACCATCTTATTACCACACTATTTTCTTAGTGCAAGTTATAAGCCTGACGACACATCATCCTTGCAGCCCGCGTATCTTGGCCCCAGCGAGGACGTGGCCCCTTACCTGGCCCAGCTGGGCCTACCAATTCAGCCGAACTACAACCCTGCGGACTTCTTGCGTGGGTCCAAACACGTGCCTTGTGGGCCCTGCGACGGGTCCAAACACGTGCCTTGTGGGCCCTGCGACGGGTCCAAACACGTGCCTTGTGGGCCCTTCAACGGGTCCAAACACGTGCCTTGTGGGCCCTTCAACGGGTCCAAACACGTGCCTTGTGGCCCCTTCGACGGGTCAAACACGTGCCTTGTGGGCCCTTCGACGGGTCAAACACGTGCCTTGTGGCCCCTTTGACGGGTTAAACACGTGCCTTGTGGCCCCTTCGACGGGTCAAGAGCATTTATCACTAGTCTTTGATGCCTGTGTGCTATGAATAGTCAAATATATAGCTGACACGCATATAGTATTCTAGTAGAATAACATATAGCTGACACGCATATAGTATTCTAGTAGAAAAACATATAGCTGACACGCATATAGTATTCTAGTAGAATAACATATAGCTGACACGCATATAGGATTGTAGTAGAATAACATATAGCTGGCGCGCATATAGTATTCTAGTAGAATAACATATAGCTGGCGCGCATATATTATTCTTGTAGAATAATATATAGCTGACACGCCTATAGGATTGACGTAGACCAATATATAGCTGATATGCATATAGGATTGTTTGTTTATATGTATAGGATTCTGGCAGACGAACAGGATTGTCAATTTTGATCTAAAGATCAGCTATGAAATTAATTAATTTACGTCGTGCAGTGGAAGTGGCCACCGAACACTCTGAGCGTCTGATACGTCACCACTCGGAGACGCATCGAGCAGGCACCGTCGTACGTCAGTCCAAGAACCCTCCTCCGAATGTCGTCCATCAACGTCTCTCGTCACTCTCTGCGTCACAATCCAAGCAAATTCAACGCACTTACGTTCACGACGAGGATGCTTCGTCGTCTCATGAACGTCTGGACGTCGGTCAGGAGCTTCCAGAGTACCGGGACTTGCAATATTCGAGGCTCACGAACGCGAACGGTTATCCTCGCTCCGTCGTTATTGACGTGCCGGATGAATGTTTGACGCAGCGTTCAAGCAACGTTCAACGCTGCGCTTGTGGAAATGTCGTTCAGTTATCTCTCGACGTTCTCCCATCAGTCGATAGCGAGCACCATTCTTCAGAAATTATTAATTCGCCGTACTCCATAGACCTTCCGTCATCGTCTACCGTAAGAGTTCCGTCGGATGTCGCCGTTTCTAACCCCGATTACGAGTCTTCAGTACACCTCTTCGTTTGCGATGACTACATAAAAGTGAAGAACCATCAGCATCTCATCCACGCTGGGCATGATCGTGATTCAGTGGACCCGAGAGGAGGTCTCGATCTGGTGGACGATGATAGTGAACACGATCATGATCTGCAGAGATCTTCTTCTTTCCGAGGATTTAACGTCACTAGATCCTTGCCTGCTCCTCTGTCGGAGGATGCTTGCCTAAACAGTGAGTGTTTGGGGAGATCTCACCATAGATAAAGTATTTTGATAGGTGGACAATGATGTTGTTAATACAATGATGAACAATGATGTCGTTTGTTGAAAGTATTATTATATTATTTATTTATTGTAGTACTAGTCATTTATTTCATTTTTGTATTGGCCACAGATATCTTTATAGGTGAACAAAATTTCCGTGTATATCGTAAACTTGACTGTACATCACTGTCAACTGTATAAAAAGGAAATATTATTTATTGTTTTTTTCTAAGCCATCATTGAACGTAGCGCTCTCTCCCCAGAGGGACCGGGGAGACCGGCAGACGAGACCCAGTGGGGCGCTTTGCCCGACACGCGCACCACCACACCCGTCAAGCGGGGTACGTAGCCCTGCTACATCATTCACTTATGTCGCCATTGCTACATCAGTGCCACTTATGTCGCCATGCTACATCAGTGCCACTGGTCTAAACAGCTTTATAGATATTACGTGGGAATCGAACCCAATAAATTACAACTCAGACCAGTGTATGTCACTCGTAACGCCTCACGTCCCTCGTAACGCCTCACGTCCCTCGTAACGCCTCACGTCCCTCGTAACGCCTCACGTCCCTCGTAACGCATCATGTCCCTCGTAACGCCTCACGTCCCTCGTAACGCCTCACGTCCCCAACAGACGAGAGTGACAGCGGCCGTGAGTCGTGCATTAGCGACCACAGCGACGAAGCGTCGTGCTCCGCGGCCTCCGTCGCGGCCTTCGCTTCATCGCGACGTCGCTTGCGCCTCTACGCCGCCGACGCGCGCTGGCCTGCGTCGTACTGGACACAGTGTCGGGTGCGTGAACCAGCTGGAGCAAGCATTGTTTGGACGCTGTAGTCGTAAACTACCACTACCACCACCACCACCACCACTATCACCGCTACCACTACCATCATTACCACTACCATCACTACCACCCCCCACAGGTACTCACGGCGCGCTGCTTCACGGTGTCCCGCCCCATCATCACGTCGCGGGTGAACTGGGTGCAGACGCTGGGGTTCGCGCTGCTGGCGGGGGTGCTGTGGTACCAGGCGCCCCGTACCGAGGAGGGCATCACGGACCTGCAAGGCTGGATGTTCTTCTCCGCATCCTACTGGATGATGCACAGCCACTTCCAGGCCCTCAGTACATGTCAGTCTTCCATGTTAGGCATTTAGCCCCTTCCATGCTAGCCATGCATTTAGCTCCCTCCATGCTAGCCATGCATTTAGCCCCCTCCATGCTGGCCATGCATTTAGCCCCCTCCATGCTGGCCATGCATTTAGCCCCCTCCATGCTGGCCATGCATTTAGCCCCCTCCATGCTGGCCATGCATTTAGATCCTCCAATGTCGTAGTCTCTTGAAATATATTTTGTTGATAATCTTGTGTGTGATTAAGGCCTCGTGATAACCAATGTCCACGCTGTTATCGAATGCAATACTTTCACTCAATCTTTGTACTTGCATCCCTGGTCCATAACCGTTATGATGTTAATCATTTTGCTCGTCCGTTTGATGCATGTCTTTTACGACCCTCATGCGTGATATCGATCAATAAACGAACTTATGATTGTTAACTTTGACCACGGCAATAACGGTTGCTGTATAATTTTTCTCGTAGTATTATAATTAAAGTATGGGTTTAACTAACAACTGACCCTGGCTACAGTCCCGCGGGAGAAGGCGGTGCTGGAGAAGGAGCGTGGCAGCTGCTGGTATCGCATCAGCGCCTACTACATCGCCAAGACCCTAAGCGAACTTCCCCTCACCATAGCCCTGCCTTCCCTCTATTTCATCATCTCATACCCTCTGATGGCAGGCGTGTCCAATGCCCTCGTCATGCTGCTGCTGCTCCTTATGCTTCTCCTCAACGCCATTGTGGCTCAGGTTTGAAACTGCCAGCTCGCAGTAGGATTTAGATTTATAAAGGTAATGTTTGTGCCTTGGTTACCACTGTGCAAAGAAGGAAAAATTAAATGAAATCATGTCTTCTATAATAGTGTTTCTGTGAACAAGTTGTAAATGTTCAGTAAATATTAAATTTATGCAGATATCACTTTTAATGTTCTCGTTTAACTCTGGTGTAATGACGTACAGTGCTGACAAGATGATATTAATAATTGTAGTTGCCTACACAAAGTTATTATGAACGTAATAAATGCTTACGCTTGAGGGCTGCCGTGTCTGTGACGTTCCTCAACACAAACCACTTATGATGCAATGATGTGTATAATTGTACTGTGTACGCAGGATATAAAAACATTCAATAATAATTATTAACGAAGTGGATCATACGCTTGAGCACAGCGCCGGGCTGCTGGCGTCGGTGACGTTTTCTGAAAGACCTGCTGAAACGATATAAATAATTCTAAGAGCATGCATACGAGATAAACACGCTTATAAATTATTAACGACGTAAATTATACGTTTAAACAGAGCATGGGACTGTTGGTGTCGGTGACGTTCTCGGACATTGAGCACTGCTGGGCGGTGAGTGCCCTGATCACGCTCTTCCAGCAGCTGTTCGGGGGCTTCCTCTCCACGCGGGTGCCTCCATGGATGGAGTGGGCGCGCTACCTCTCCATGGTGCAGTACGCCTACACCAACATGTGCTACATCGAGTTCTCCATGGGGCTTCCTGTCGCGTGAGCACCGTCGAGTCTCGTCTCCAAGAGATTCTTTTTTGATAATATATTTATATATAGCATTTTTTAAACGTCTGCCCGGTAAATGGGCATAAAGTGATTAATAGTATAGTAGTATTACCGTATCAACTGTAATTAAGCTGTATTAGACCTTCCGACGACTCTAGCAATCAAAGAATATTCACAACCTCTTTGCCGATTCGACGAGAAAAGTCGCAGGAAGCTGGGATCGAACCCACAACTCTCTTATCCAATCTTGGTACTCTGAACTGTAACCACTGAACCACCCTGCCCAGAAACCCAATTGGTCTGCAATCTCGCTACTTTCCAATTTGTTCTACAAAACGACTCAAATTAATCAGACACAATGACCTAATAACAAGCATTTTGGGTTACACGAAAATTTACGTTCTCAGTTATAAGTCACAACAAAAGAATTGAAGATAATAACACGCTTCCTTTTCATTTCATCCGTAGCCTGCTTTTCGTCTTACTCCTAAAGTTCTTCCAGCCGCGACCTAAACCAAAGACTGAAACTCTAGCCTCGATTAATCATCAATCGGCGTCGGCGTTCTACAGTTCTTCCTGTACCTGTAGGTGCGCCGCCGAGCTGTCACGGTATCCGTCCTGCGCGTCGGGCAACTCAACCGTCGTTCCCGTCGCAGAGATCCTCGACTCCACCGGCGTCTTCGGGTCCTCCATGGGTGCCTCCGTCATATGGATGAACACCGCAGCGCTGGTCCTGTACCTCGTGGTGGCGAGACTACTAACTTATCTTGTGTTGCGATACCGATACCGTCCTAAGTATTTATAGTTAGTTATTTAAGCGATGTTTGTCATAGGTGCTCGCTGTAAACCACAGAACGCCATCGGTTCTGAATCATCCCATGGCTTCTTATTTACTCTCAGGATATTCATCATGATCAGTATTTTCTGAAATTATTTTGAATGAATTAGTCCAATTAATTCGAGAAAGAAATTCAAATGAAATCTCCAATCTAATTCAATTTCAATTAAATTTAGAATATTTTATTTTGAAAATGCGTAACTGAAAAATGTTCTACTGTAGACTTTGTCTGTGAAGAAAGCGTGGAAAATTTGTCCACTAATGTGCCTCTTCATGAAACCATAGATATATACCTGAATTCTCTGTTTAGGGATGTAAATGACCTCGTTATAGGTTTGAAACGTAGTTTTTTAAATCTTTTTTTGGAATTATCTGTTTTAAACTCTTTTTTCATATATGCTGGAATATTTTACCGACAGATTGACGGTTTGGGCATGGATCTTCCGCTCGGCCCAGCCTTTGCGAATATTTTAATGTGTTTTCACAACATTTCCTGGCTGTCCAATTGCCCTCTTGAATTTAAGCCAATATTCTATAACAGTTACGTTGATGACACTTGTAAGCATCCTTCTCACTTTAAACTCATCTTCGATTACCTAAATTGGCAACATAAATAAATCAAATTTACTATGGAACTGGAATCTAACAATAGCCTGTCCTTCCTCTATTGCAATATTACTAAATCTAATGGCTGTTTCCAAACTTCTGTGTTCCGGAAATTGTCTGTTACAGGTCTTAGTACCAGCTTTTTTAGCTTTTGTTCGTTTCGATTTAAGATTAATGGGATTCGAACACTTTTACATCGGGGCTTTCGTGTTAGTTCTACTTACAATTTTGTGCACGCTGAATTCGAATTTACGCAATATCTTTTCGCTTAATGGATTTACGACTAATCTGGTGTTTACCCAAAGAAAGATATTCATGTACACTGAGAGAAAAAAGCCCCCTGTTTTGAAACACTTGGGTGTTTCAAATCCTCCCCGAGCGTTCGTGCCCAAACCGGAACACCCAGGTGTTTCAAAAACGTTCAGGTGTTTCAAAATTTGCGATTTTGAAACACTTGGGTGTTTCAACGGTGGAACACGGGAAGTCTACGGAGAATGAAATCTTATTTTCAGAATTTATGCAATATCCTTGTCCAGTTTCCAGCACCTGATGAAATTATTTTAACATATTTTACTCCTCCGGTCGATCGCAGTCTAATCCATGGCTGCCTCAATACCAAAATTATGAAAACTATATTCTATCCGTATTTATCTGATTTCAAGGCTTTTCTCCTTCACAGCGAAATTAGTCACATATTCATTCTTTTATATACATATTTATTACACAATTTTATCGGTATGTACAATCATCATGAAACTACACTCTTTGCTCTCACCTCTATCGAGCTGTGGTTGAGGAAACTATGAGTCGCCCGCCGAGATTCGAACCTCTGTCAAGACTGCAACCAAACGCTCGCGAGCAGGCGCCTTAGTCCACTCGGCTACGGAGACGGCAACTACATAGAGCTGCAGTATTGGTTTTGTCTTGCGCGCGGTACTACCAGAATAAATCTTCGATTTTATTATCAATTGCTAGTGTGAGCGAATGGTGTAGATGTCGCTCGTTAACATTACTATTGACAAAAGAACAGCAAAGATTTGAAATAATTAAACGAATTGAGTTGGTCAATTAACCGTAAGCAGTGTAGATTCGTGGCATTCATGAGCGGCGGCTCCACACAACCTCCTCCTATGACAGCATTCGGCGCACTGACCACGCGACCCTAGCCGCACAAATATAAGCGCGTCAAGCTCGGGAGGTTTTGAAACACCCAAGTGTTTCAAAACGGGGGGCATTTTTCTCTCAGTGTACAAGCGGTACAATGAGGTTGCTTCCGAGCGCAACAGTAGCGATGTTGTTTATTGCTCTCTTCCATATTTCGGCCCTGCATCCGAAACTATGTCAAGGGGGCTAAAACTTTTGTTTTCTGAGTATTTCGCGAATTTTATTCTTCGTGTCATATTGGTCAACAATTTCAAATTCGGTTCTTTTTTAGGTACAGAGATACCCTCCCTATGCATATGCGAGCGTCCCTGGTTTATAAATATAGTTGTGCACGAAGTGCATCTGCGTACGTCGGAATGACTTCTCGCAATCTCTATTCTAGGGTCGCAGAACATAGAGACAGAAGTTTTGGAACTGGTCACTTACTATCGTGTCCCCCTCATTCGGCTGTGCGTGCTCACGCCGAGCAGTGCTACGTTCCAATTTCTGATAGTTACTTCAAATTTCTAGCTTCCACTTCCGGTGTTTATGATTTGCTCATTTTAGAATCATTGTATATTTTTAAACAGAGGTCAAGTTTAAATTTAGCTTTTAGCTCTTACCCGCTTGAAATTGCAAACAGATAGATTTTACCACTTAAGTTTTTTTTTGTAATTTTGACTGTACTAATTACTGATTTACCCGTGTTCTAGAATTCTCAAACTGACGATGGAGCTGGACTCCGAAACGTTTTCTGTAAAGATAGTACGAATTTTTGTGGAGTTTTCTTTGCTTCTAAGTTTTTAGTGAATTTGCGATTCAAGCAAACGAATGACATTATTACGTAATGAGTCACCGGCTGGAGTATTTCGTGTAGATTAGGGGGTTGATGAGAGGTCAACTAAAATAAATCATGTAAATGCAGGGATGACGAGCCGTTAACTGAGGTAATTTGTGCTTTTAAGGGCAAGTAGAAGGCAATTGTGATATTTTCGTGTAAAAGATTTTGTAGAAGAACTGGGATAGTTGGTGGTTCGGGAGTATTGTGGGCAATTCGAAAAGCGAAGTGAACAAACATTTATGGCGAAGAAGTTAATTGAAGGGGGAGTGAAGGAGGCATGGGAGTGAAGTAAACAAACTGGGGGAGTTTGTGTAGATGGTTTAGAATAATGGAGGAATCGAAGAAGTTCGTGAAGATGGTTTGTGAAGCAAGTAATCGTTGTTTGCTACATTACAGGTATGGGAGTGATTCGGCGGAGCAGTTCGTGCTGATGGTTAAGTAGGAAGTAGGATGAACTAACTTGATTCGTAAGGATGATGATACTGTTGTAGGCCATTTAAAATTTTGCATGATCCTGTAATAACGATCAGCGAAATGGGAAGGTAATTCATGCTCTGTTTTTGTATATATAATGCCCTCAAAGTGATAAATTTGTATAGTCGTTTAGATTAGCTATTCCGTGTAAAGAAAGCAATGACTCCCCAAAAATATAATCTCCAAGAAAAAGAACTTACCAAGCCCCGATTTAATCGCTCCGAGTTAAACATTCCTTCATAAAATATTATCAAGAATTGATTAAATTGTATTCAACTCCATATTTTCGTCTTTTCAGTGACCTAACGACTAAAGTTTATGTTGAATTCTGTGTCTAGGCATTGAGAGCGGCATTATGCCGCCACTTTATTCTGTAGCTCTATAAGGCTCCGGTAATTGTAATATTCATTAGCTTAGTTCGTAGGAATATCGCGAAAAGCTGCTAACGTATTACGTCCTATGTAGAGGGCCTTCTGGAATTCGTATAAGTAGCTCACCCACCCTTCCTCGGCGGGGTAAGTAGTAGTAGTAGTTTAATGGTTTGCTAGCCCTTCAGCTATCAAGCTATTTCGCACCAGAGGTCAAAATGTAACATCGCCAGCAAGGCGGAAGGTTTCAATTATTCAAAGTCTCAAATTAATCATCACCCACAAGGGGGCGGAAGGTCTCAATTGTCCAGCCCGCTGAAGCTGGCTCGAAGGAAGCAGCGTTAGCATCTCAAAGAGACGAAGTGACAAGGAGGGACAGGTGAACAGCAACAGAAACGAAGACACTCGAACAAGAGGTCGCTTACACGGGACGTCGGCCGCCCGCACGAGAGAGACAGAGAAGGGAAATTTAATGTACATATTAACTTAATGTAAGGAATCCTCCTTACATAATAACTTAATGTAAGGAATCCTACCTACATAATAACTTAACCCCACAACTGAGACCCGCAGTCAGACACTGCGAGCTCAGCGGTGGGGCGCTCAGGAACAATCCCCCTATGAGCGAGAAATCCCATAGGACTTCTCACGAGCACAGACACGCGTCAGAAGTCCCCCCTGAGGGATCGGCGGGATGAAGAAAATCGTATTGGATCATTTTGCACATTGTATCATCATTGAGAACGATGTTTGTAACTGCGCCATCGACCTTTTGGGTCACGCCCACCGTTGTTCAAATTTCCCATTATTGTAGAAGATGCTGGTCTCTTGTGTACATTGTTTCTGTCAATTTTTCTCCCTTTTACAGTCCGCTACGTGGTTTTGTTTTTCATAAGTAATTAGTGTCATCATTTTAATAGCTATTCCGCAGTTGCTGGTTTAAAGGTCGAGAATGGCCTCGAATATCTTAATTTTCTCCGGTGCAAAGAATAGACGTCGAGCGTGTAAAATTCTGATCCAGCTGGCACTGAAATTAAGAATCAAACTTATTCGTGTTTAAACTTGCTTATATATTTTCTTTATAGAGGTTTAAAAAGGTAATTAATAAAAAACAAAAGACTTGTTCCCATGTTTGCATTTTAACGTAGAGGAATGTTATTTGTGTCAAATATAAAAAAGAATTATTGAAATTTTCTCGTTAAATAGCAGTTTTTCATATTCGAAAATTTGTTTTCGATCAGTAAGCGTCAGTGCCTCTCCTCTCGTCCTATTTGCACCTTCCGTTAATGAATCATGTATATAATAATAAAAAAAGTGGGTCACGGGTGCTACATCTTAAGTCAGAACTCCGTTCCATTTTAGTGTTTAATTTTTGTACGTATTTATCAAAGGTGAATAAAGTTTGATGCGATTACCGGTAGCTGTTAATGTTCCTATTGTTTTATATATATTGTGCGAGGTGAATTGAAGCGTCGCCATGCCAATAAAAATAGTCCTTTCTCACCAATAAATTTATTACGAGTTTTTTTTCCTGGCTTTCATTTCGTCCTCACCGCAAATTTATTTTTGGTTCATGATTACCTACTGATTCATTATTCATGAATTATTGAAGAAATGTTTTGGCATTTTCGTTGATATTTACTAAAGAACGTATTTTCGATTCCTCGCTTTGAAACTAAAAAACATTTTAGGCGTTCACCGGCGGCGTCGCGTGGCATGTCTTCACACGTGGCATGTCATCAACATGTCTTCACACGTGGCATGTCTTCAACGTGTCATCACACGTGGCATGTTTTCAACGTGTCATCACACGTGGCATGTCTTCAACGTGTCATCACACGTGGCATGTCTTCAACGTGTCATCACACGTGGCATGTCTTCAACGTGTCATCACACGTGGCATGTCTTCAACGTGTCATCACACGTGGCATGTCTTCAACGTGTCATCACACGTGGCATTTATTATACGTGTCATCACACGTGGCATATAGCGTGACGTGACGTGACGCGACATGCCACTTGTGACGACATATTGTCTTCACACGCGTGACGTGTGACGCGTGAAGCGTGGTGCGTGGCGCGTGCCGTGGGACGTCCATGGGACGTAAGACGCGTGACGCATGACACATGACATGACATCCCCGGGGCCATATTTAGTTTTGTTATGATTTATTAACGTTAATCATGAGAGATTCACACGAGGAGCACGTGCTGATTTTTCAAGCTTATCTTTCTTTGATGCGGCGGCATCCCAGACTTGCTAATCTATTTAGATCCTAACATTGGTATCCCTGCGCACCGACATGATACTGAAAAATATAATGGAATATATTACTCCTCAATCGCCCACATGTCGCACTACAGGTACTTGAAGCAGCTATCTCGTACAGCCGCTCCATTACAAGTCACCAGTCGAGAAGATGGGATCTTTGGTACACGTCTTGCCGGCCCTCGTGGCCGCGATATCTTGCTTCACGGCCCAGGCCATCGGTGAGGATCTTAGGAGATGCTAGTTATGGATTAAGTGACGATCATCAGGAGTAGGACGAACCATACAAATGAAAGTCATTTGAAAAATATTTATGACCCCAGTTGCGTATCAAAGTTCAGAAGTAACTTACTAAATGCACCATTTACAAACCTACTAACGGAATTTATTACATCTCCATAGACATTCCTGACCTGCGATACCTGAAAGCCTACACCGACTATGACCCCGACGGCCCCTACCACGAGTTCCTGGACTACTCCCCCGACCTCAGCGTCCAGGGCTTGGATGGCTATATTAAACGCGTCTGCGTAACTGGACAGTGCGTGAATATTTCTCAGCGACGTATTCGAGTTTCAGTGGAGTATCATGTACAAATCTAAACAGAGAAGGAATATTAGGATGATGTTGGCCGAAGTTCAAGTGACTTTCTATACCATGGACCTTCTAATTTATCATCAAGTAGAGTGTCCTGTTCGTTCTTCACTCGCCAGTGACACCTCTCAGTCGCAGTAACTGCATTAGTATAACTCTTTATGAGATCGTGAAACTGAAAGCACGATCATGGGTAATTTTTCACTTCTATTCGTGACAGGATTTGAAAACTTGCCCCGTCTAATTCACCTTCTGTTTTGACGAGCAGAAATGCTGGGCTATTATATGAAAAAAATAGTTAATGTTTCTCGTTAGAGATATTTCTCCTCTTTCGGTGTGCATTATAAGCCATCATATTTCTGCTGTATCCTCTTTCCAGGTGGTTAATGTACTACGAGCGCTACTACAGCGTATTGAGAAGTATTTATAACGGGATCAACCAATGCTTCAACACGTCTTCCAGTTACCCTGTAAGCAAACGGAAAAATTTATAACTCGTATGCATTTAATAAATGAGAATGTCAAAAAAACGCGTGGTGAATGTATCACAATAAATGTATCAACATTTACTATTATTACCTGGCAGGTATCTTCTCTGCGGTACGCGGGCAGCCCCTACGGTCTGGACGACGTCTACTACAACCTCTACGAGGGGGAGGAATGGACGGGCAATGAATTCAAAGGCAACACAAACGCCCCGACCGTCGCCAACTTGGACATGAATGTGTCCTCCTTGTCCATCAGTGGACAATCACCGTGGACTTTCTTCACGTATACGTCATGTATTGTATTTCAACCCAAATATCTGAGAGACAGATATATGCTTTGATTTAATTTCGAGTAATTTATGATATGGTGGAAATGAGTTTGCACATCTGATGCTGAGCGACGAAAGCAATCAGGTACTTCACAAAAAAAAACATCCAAAACTAGAGCCGCAGTGCAGTATAAATAAGATTAAACGGGTACGTTGACAATTACAGATAACAGCCCTAATTAGGTAGCAGAGATACGAGAATAATAATGCTAGATGATGGGTCTTTAGAAGTATAAGTGCTTGCACACGGGGATAGTGCAGACGGTTAGTAAATGAAGCGGCTGAACCCCTATACACGAGGCTAGTAGCGTGGATAGTTCAAGCGGCGGATGAACTAGCAGCTAATACTATCCCTATGTACAGGCATCTGAAGGATCTGTGCCACATGATATAGGGATACCTGCCTCATATAATATGAAGAAACGTACCTCATGGAGCGTAAATTCGGGCCTGATGAAGGTTAATGGCGTCTTTGGTGCGCAGAGGCCTGCAGTACGCTGGAGTGGCCGTGTGCGTGTACCCGGACTACACCATAAATGACGACGGCATTTATTTGCATCACAACAGAATTTCAAAAGTAAGAAAACGAAAGGAGTGTACGCGTCTTTTTCGTCTGTCCTTGTAAGAGTTTACCTCCTGTTGCTGGCGAGCGCACCGTGATTGTCATTACAGCGGTAACATAATAATTGTGTGTGCATAAAAATTTTAAAACCATAGGTATCGCTGTAACAATATTATAATGCATTTATTAGATACAGTTTCATTTATGTTGTTTATTTGTATCTGACTACGAAGATGCAAGCAGTGAAACTATTCAGTGCGCTTAATGGACCATGACCGAGTGCTCTGTGTGAAATTTTGAGTATTCATTTTTTTCATTGTGATTAATAATTAAAGATTTTGGTGAATTATTTGGAGGACTTGGTTGCATAGATGTGACATCGACAGCGCCATGCTCCAAGATTGAAGGCTTGTTCTTTTATGTACGCTAACTTGAGAATGTTGCTTAACTCACTGCAGCAAGTTATCCTAGAGTGAGTTGAGCAGAATTCTCAAGTTATCGTACGCGGGTCACCATGATGGGTACTGAGGGTAACCATGTGGTGATAGGATATATCGGCGAGCTGAGAAACATGACTAGCGAACATCAACGAAGTGCTTATAACTTTCTAGTGCAGCCACAGCTTTTGTACTTGTGTTTTGACTTTTGTTAGCTCTAATCATACTCATTGCATGCAATTCAATGCTCAACCCCGCATTCTTTACTTTCCCGAAGATTGGGCTTACCCAAGACTTGGGCTTACCGGACAATTCGATCAGATCGGTGGCCAAGGGCTGCCTCACCGACAACGTCTACAGGGGCGGCTGTCCCCACCAGAGGGAGCTCGGAAACCAGGACGGACATTAGGACATCCGACAGGTGCTGCATGAGGTCGAAGACTTCAGACATCCGACAAACGCTGCATGAAGTAGAAGACTTCCTGCCTTGATAAATAAATGAATATATGATTCCAAACTACATCACAGACGTTTCTCTTCCACGTTTTGGAATTACAATAACATAATAAAAATGCTGCCTACTTAATAGCTTGTCAATAACTTGATGGTTAGATCAAATTGCCGATATTCATTGCAGTTTATACAACGATTCAAACATTTCATAATTGAAGAAAATAATGTGTTCAAATAATTTCTGATGAGAAATCAACTCACCTAAGAAATACGAATTAACCTTAATCAGTTGTACAACAATATATTTCTTTATAAATATCAATTTTAAAATTAAATACAGATTCTCTAAACTATTTTGATAATTAATTTCTACTGAGCTAAAACATTTATATAAATGCTAATCATTCTAAGATATTATGCCAAGGATATTGACTTATTACATTATTTTCAAGGCCAGAAGAACTAACAACAATAGAACGCTCGTGACTTTGGTTTTCGATGTCATTAAGATTGCGTTCATAATTGAATCTTTCATGATCATTATGACTGCATTGTCCATCATCATTATGACTGCATTGTGCATCATTATTATGACTGCATTGGGCATCTTCATTATGAATGCATAGTGCATCATCATCGTGCATAATTATTATGTAAGATCCTTATCCAACTGTGGCCCTCAGAAGTGCCTAATTGAGCCTAATTAAGTGCCCTCTGAGCCTAATTGAGCGCAAATTGTGAATGTGGGTGAATTAGTGAGTGTACACTGTTAAAGCCCTTTTAACACAGGGCGGAAAATACCGCCAGCGTAAAAAAACCGCAACGGTATTTAACCGCGTAATCATTCACACGAGGCGGTTTTTAACGCTGGAATCTATCAGTATTGCTATGCTATTTTTTGCACTATCAGTCCATCTTTATTTTACAATATCTATGTTTATGAAACAATATACACTGTTATAAAAACAGTTGAAAAGCGTGTGATACCTGTGACTTATATACCCGTGTGTTTCACGTAATCTGGCCATTAAGTGAGTGACAATAGCGTCTTTGTCAGATTTAAGGGGACATTATCGGTCAAAATCTATTTTCTATATATGTGGAAGGATCGTCTCCAAACTTGGTACACATATGTAAAACAGAATTCTAAGACTATTTTGTTTTTTTTGTGAAATTTTCGAAAAAATTGAAAGAAAACGTGAAATTCATAGAAAACGGCCACAAAGGGGGGTACTCAAAAAAAGTTTTAACTATTGCAAATCACATGCTACAACATCGAAACACGTATCATTCGATGCGTAAAGCGACTATCTAGCGATTCTCGGGCCACTTTTTCAATTTTTTTCTTGGTTCTCTTTTTCTGACGATTTTTCTGAAAAAATTGAATTTTTCGAAATTTCCCCATATTTCCCCCCCTTTTTTCAAAATATTTTCAAAACTATAACGAAATCGAAAAAAGTCCCTCCTTGTCACTTGTCCCTCCTTGTCACTTGTCACTCATTGTCACTTGTCCCTCCTTGTCTTTTGTCCCTCCTTGTCACTTGTCCCTCCTTGTCACTTGTCCCTCCTTGTCGCTTGTCCCTCCTTGTCACTTGTCCCTCCTTTCCACCTGGCCCTCCTTGTCACCTGGCCCTCCTTGTCACCTGGCCCTCCTTGTCACCTGGCCCTCCTTGTCACCTGGCCCTCCTTGTCACCTGGCCCTCCTTGTCACCTGGCCATATCAAGTGCCACCTGATTGATTATACATTTCTACCAGATGACAGAGATTCGTTGACTTAAGTGCGCGAGGGATGAGAAAGACGTCGTTTTTACACAAAAGAACATTCAAACCTGTGTTCATAAATTGATTTCATTGTGGTACGCTTCCATGAGTTGCCAAAGTTCGGATCACTCAACTGCTACAAGCACGGTTCTTTTAATTTTGGATTGCTTATTAACTGAAGAAAGTATATAAACGTAAAATTATATGAAATTTTTCTTTAATGCCGTCTGTTGTAGCGTTTGAGTTATGCCACAAGACTCCAAATGAAATGCGATAAAAAAATTTCTTACATTGTCGCAGAATATTCTAAGTTAGGAGCTCATAAAAGTTTTGGTGTTGAAAGTTTCACGAAGAATGTATTCTTTCCTCACGCCTTGGCGCGAGTATTGCGGGTATTATTTTGGCGTCCACGAGGAACTTGATTTAGTGTATTACAGACTTGAGCGAGTGTATTACTGAGGAACTTGATTTCATGCTTCCCTGTTTACTGGTTGAATGTAATTGTTGTGTCAACTTTCTTCGTCCCATACATGTTTGTAAGATTCATTATTCTAACCGTTTCGTTGCCAACTCATTTAATAATAAATCTTAAATGAAGCCTCAGTGCACGCTATTGCATAATAATCAGTCACTTAGAATGTTTTCAATAAAGTGACGTTGGTCCAGGTTATGTCCGGCTGACTAAATAAGGACAGACTCTCGACATGGGCTAGGCCACAAATTCTTCCTCATTTGTCTGCGATATTTCTACCTAATGTTTATTTTAAGGACTTCTAAAGTACGAACTAAAAACTATGATAGTTTTTCCGAGTGCATTGCTTTAAATGTCTAGGATGCAGTACAGTCAACTGGGGGGACTTCGGCCACCGGGGGGGGGGACTTCGGTCACCGGGGGTGACTTTGGCCAACGTTTATTTTTTTTTGCTGTCATTTGTATTTGTTGTAGTGGTGGCCAAAGTCACCCCCGGTGACCGAAGTCACCCCAGTTGACGGTACGAGTTTGAATAAGTAGTGTCCCGGTAACGGGTACCATGTTTCCTCTGCAATTGTTGCTACCATATCGATCTTTTTTTGCCTCACTAAATATTTTTTTCTAATTAACTTCTGAAATACGGAGGCAATATTACTTCATGGTCGATTTAAGATGAATAGAAAGTGATCTGCTGAAATATGCAATAATCTTCCGTCTTTTTCAAAATGCTCGAGTTTACGGCCAAACGCCAGTAGCTATCATGTAAAAATGCATTGATCTGGATATGAATTCATTCGCTGTTATTTTATTGCACCTGATTGTTTATTAAAACTACAGGTCGACCACGACGCTCCCCTTAACGTCAAGTCGATATTATCTTCAACGTTTTGGAGCTAGTTAGTTTCATGGATATGGCCAATAGTTTAGTTTTTAGAATTCGTGCAACCAGGTCACGAATATCACTAGAATCGGTGACAGGCCAAACTTAGCATATTCTTCAGCACAGACACTACTATACAATAATAATCAGTCTCTGCTATTGGAAACCGGTTAACGTGTACGGCATGTCTTACTGATATATGATTATTCGAATCCGTGCTCAGATATTGACGATTGCTATCTACCATAATTTATCACGCATTTTCCCCTATCTCTTGATGCTATTCCGCCATAGAATGTTTGAAAATTTAGAGTGCAGTGGTACATTTCATTAATTGTAAGTAAATAAAAAGCACTTGCAGGAGACTTTTAGCAGTACGGTGTAAACGCGAGTGCAATTTTTGATGCTGTAAGCATTTAATGCAATGAACCTATCGCTAGGGTATTCATTAATAATGATTTAGATCTAAGCGTCTTTCGAGATGGTTTTAGATTATATCATGCCGGAGGTTTAAGGGGACCTGCTACCCAACATCTTCAATTTTGGCGTTTTTCGGTTTTTGTGCTCATCTGAAAGCTGGAATTCTGCTCTTTCCAATGGTACCACTGCCATCGCTGTACGTCAATATTTACGTTAATGACGTCTCTTTAAAGGGAAGCGGGTGGTAAAAAAAACTATGGGGAAAATGAAAAAAGTGATGGGTTAGTTGATAGGTTGGTCTTCACGAATCTAATGATATGTGTCTCGATATTGTCGGACGATATTTGTGGGGGGAGATTTTCTATAGTACCCGTAATTTGTCCGTTTTCTATGAATATCACGTTTTCTATCAATTTTTTCGAAAAATTCATGGAAGTAAAATGTTATTATTTTTACATTTTACGTATGTATGTGAAGTTTCATGATGATCGGATAATAACTGTAGGAGTTATAGGCTACCTCGATTTAGGGTAGCAGGTCCCCTTAAATCATTCGAAATTAGACGCTCTAGGGTCAACTTAAACCTAAATTTTCCGAGTTCACATCCAATAAAATCTTGAGGCAATGCTAGGAGTGTTTTGCATTTGCATACAATTCGATCATTTCCAATTTTTTATTCATCCAACTCAAAGACGTCATTTAAAAGATTTTTTCAAATTTCCATAGAATTGAATAGAGTTGAACAACATTTTCTGAGCATCATAATGTTATTTGAAACTAAGATAAAAATAATGATAATAATTATAACAGGATTTTTAAATTGAAATTTTTTTTTTACTTTTGGATTTTAAAAACTAATCAAAAACTCACATAAGTGATTTTTGCCTTGCCAGCAAAAAGCAAAAATTGTTTACAGCGACCAGTTAAACCTATTTATTTTCTCGAGTATATCAATCTCAAAGGTGTTGGGCAAGCAAATTTTTGTTAAACTTCCTCAACAGATTTAAAATATATAAGATATATAACATAACATAGTGATGTCGGCGCTGAAGTGTAGGCCTGATGTGGCCTGTCGCCGATTCTTTTCCTTTTCGTACCTTGTTCATAGATCTAAACTCGTGTCATTTGACCGGATCTTTTCATGACTGGCGATAGTTTGAAAAAAAAATTTTTATTGCTCGTACGAGCATCAAAAACTTTTTTACACTTTTATTACTATCAATCTACTATATCAATATATGTAGTCAAAAGTTTGAAGATTGCAATACTTAAAAAATTTACCGGTGTATTTCACTCTCACCAACGTGCCTGACCAATAATTTTTACAAAAGATAATCACTACAGTGGGCAAGCTGACATATAATTTATCTGCTACATTTTTAGACCATTTCTCGTCATCGAAACATTTTTTGCTGCAAACGACTACCAACCGTTGCCATGCAAGCAGTCAATTTATTCACCAATCAACAACCTAATTAATTAAACACTTGAATTAGCATCAATCAAGCGATACAAGTGTCAACAGACAATAGCAAATCGCCCGGCAGCACCAGACGCACTTCCATCAAAATTGCGTACCCGATGCAGTTACAGCTCCAGTGGATACGCTCACGGGTCCTTGATGATCAAAAACTGCAGAAAAAAGTTATTCATGTAATATCGTAAACTTGGTAAAGTCTTGATTTTAAATATTTTTTGTTTCACAAAAAAATCTAATTTTTTCGCATGATGAGAAATTTCTGCCCGAAATAAAGAACAATAGTTTAAGTCAAATATGTCATCTGCGCCCAGAAATACCTTCTTCTGTTCGAGCGCAAGCGCCATCTCGGTGAGCTCTTCCTGCTGAGTCTGTTTGATTAGTTCGGTCGATCTGATGACCACGAAATCGAAAGCAACGAACCCGCGCCTGTGAAGACCCTCCAGTAGCAGTACGGCCCCAGCATCTGCAATATAAGTATTTAAGAGCAAATAATTTTGTTATATTTTCGGTTAATATGTCATCACCTAATGGAGCGTTCTCTCTCTCGGCACATTGTTTCTAAACTACGAATACAAAGGTAAATTTAAGCTTCTGAAAAGCTCGTATAAACCTGGGTTGGATGTTGATGTTTACTTACAAGTAAGTTTGGTCTCCCAGAAACCAAATATTGTGACTTGTTTGTAGCGATCCTGGGGACACAAGTTTTCGAGGGCATCTAGAGCCCACTCGATGTCACTGGCACAGTCGTGCAGCACGGCCGAAACGACGAGCACAAGCCGCGACCCTTCGAACTGAACGGCCTCGATTGTGCAGGGATCAGGCCGGTGGCTGAGATTCACCACCGTATCTGAGAGACGAAACTTGTCGTTGTAGCTAATACCTTATGTTATCAACATGGAGCATTCTTGCTCTACCAGGCAATGATAAGAGACATTTAATAATTTTATATGTGCTTATGAGTTTTAAATAAGACTATAATAATGTTGAAAATTTTTTCACGAGCATGACAAAAATAAGCATCCACGAGTTATCTAGGAAAAAACCAAAACCAATGTTTCTTGGCTTCGTAGAATAACGTTTGGTGCTTCCAACTAAAATGGTGCAACTTATCTTTACTTACCTAAACTACAGAGATTCAGTCGCTCGAGAGATTTGTTGAGGTAACCGATTTGTTCGGGAGGTAATCTCAAGTTCAAGACGCCCAAGCATTCCGGTAGCATATCAAGACCGTCGTTACTGAGAGATCCCCAGAATTCGGCGAGATCGCACGAAGTACTGTCTCTCAGTGGGGCAAGAAAAGATGCGCAATCGCCGGGATTTCCATCGTGATACATGTGTCTGAAAACCAGGGACAGCTTCTCCACTGTTTGCTTCGAGATTGTTTGCAGCACATCTGGAAGTTCATAAACTAATAGCGAATTTGCGCATATGTCAATAACGATCATCTCAGGGCAAGTGAATCGTATAATGTGTTGAAACACAGCATGACTATTCTCCTTAACAATGCAGTACTTCTCTTTTGTTAATTGATTTACTTCGGCAGCGACAAATTTTGTAATGTGGTCATTATTTCCCGATTCTGCCACAAGTCTCATGAGAATGTCTGTGTACGGCTGGCCGTTCGTCGTTTCTTCATCATCGACAAGCTGAACAATGTCGTGTGCGACTGACACGAGATGTTTGTCATCAGTCGCTCTAATGGCTACGGTCATGAACATCAACATGTTTTGAGCGCGGCTGATGAAATCTTCGCGTTGATTTTCATCCTAGCTTGAAATCCTCTGGCATTCTTTCTGAATGACTTTCCAGAGAGTTTATTACTCACAGAGAGTTCTCTGCGTCGAGGCTTGAAGACGGAGTCTGCCGCTTTGGTTGCCTTTTCCGAAGACAGACCAGAGAATGCTGGCTTCTTGCTTTCTCCATCAGTAGAGGATATTGAAGCTCTACTTTCGAAGTCATCAATTTCGTCGTCGAACTACAGAATGCGATCTTTACGCACTTTGATTGCATCGTCAGGAAATTCTAAGTCCTTCACAAACTGAATGACTTTCCTAGCTAAATGACATCCAGCAGCGAACTCCCGCATCATGAGATGCTGGTAAGTGTAAACTTTAATCGAGCCAATGCCACGAAGAGATCTTTTCGTGTTAAGGTATGAGGACAGCACAAGATCATCAGGTAAATCAAGTTCTCCGCAAACATTCACAAACTTCTCCGTTGTGTTGTCCTTCAATTTATACTCTTTTCGACAGAATGATCTGAATGATACTTGGTCGAAGAAATTAAAAAAACGTTTGCAATTCTTTTTCGCAGCAGACTCGGTGAGATCAGTGAAATTGACTAAACGAAAGGCCAATTTGTCGGTCATCATCGACCTGAGCTCTGAGTAAAGGTCCGAAGAGCTGGTGAGGTTGCTCACAGTTTCTGGAGAAACAACGTGGAGCAGCACTATGAGTGCGAGATTGAGCGGTGTATTGAGCTGTTCTCCAAGTGTTTGCTTCAGGCGTCGCAAACATTTCATCAGCTCTTTAGTCGAATGGAGGATTTTATCTTCGTCATTCATAAGAGATCTGAGCAATTTGAGCACAAAGTTTTCGTGCTGATCTCCCGGGAATCCTTGCAGCTGCAAGTTTAATTCGGATTTTGAGTCCGGAAGAACCATGTTGGCGTCTTCGACCGACGTAGGTCTGGTGGTAATGATGTAGCGGTTGCTGCCGGGAAGATTTAGAAGTTCCTTCACCAAATTCCGTGATGTAGGATTATGTTAGTCAAAACCATCAATCAGAAATAGTTTGTGAACCCCTATAACCCAGTTAAAATTTTGAGTCTCGGAAACCGAGACCGGCGCCGGGTTTAGCCGGGCTGGTCGCGCTTTAGCAGGATGGAGCCGTGAAACTATAACCGGCCATCTATCCCTAAAACTGCGCTGCGCCATGGCTGATACAGAGACAAAATTCTAGCAGCTCGGCAGAGACGGAACTCTGCGCTGTTTTAGCGCTGGTACTTGGCATTGCCCGGCAGGGAGCTGTACAGAGCAGATACGCAGGCCGTGCATGGGGGGGTTTAGAGAAAGGGATGAGGGGTAGGGGTTGGAAACAGTGATAGGAGAATGAACTTCATCCTCGATCTAGTTCATTCGCATAGCACGATATTTTGGGCCAATTTCCGGTGCCATTTGTGATATTTATTTCACGTCAGTATTTTAATACTTCGAATTACGTAAGAATTTTATATGCTCTTCCAGTTTTAACACTCTAACAGAAACGTTTGCTAAAGCGAGATATCAATCAGTTTATCATGAGAAAGTTTTCTAACATGGATATACAGAAAACGCGTTAATAACAGTAAATGTTAGGGCAAAGAAAATACCGAGGAAACTCACCATATTTTCAATGAAAATGTGTAAACCAGCACCATCATCGGTTCATAAAATTGATCAACTTTCCCTGCATTTCGATTCTGGTCTCCGAAACGTTTTCATTTAAGATATGGTGAATTTATTTGGCGCTTTCTTTTCATTAAAACTCTTGGAGAACTTGCGATTTCAGTAGACTAATGATTTGCGTACGTTGTTAATTTTCCTATCAAACTGTCGAATGACATGAAGTCAATGCAATAAGATAAATTACTAAACAAATTTAGCTCTAATACTCACTTACATCTAACTGACGGGATCATACGAATGGCTACTTTGTTCATTTTTTAAAATTAGTGCATTATGAATAATATCTATCAAGTTCAACCACAAATATAGCTATTCATCGATTTGCTAGATGATGGCGAGTCATTTGTTCCTTATTATAGTTAAGTAGTTCATAGAGCCTAGGCTGGTAAGGTGTCCGCGCGGTCAACTGGTACAGGCGTTGGACTACGACGCGGAGAACCTACGTTCGAATCCCGGAGCTTCAGTCGACGTTTGCAGATAGTTCATAGCGGTGAGTAACTTGATGTGTATATATCCTCGATAATTGAATTTGCTAGATTCTAAATTACGTTGCTAAAGTCAATAGGATGAGAATGTCAGTAACCAATGTCAATACAACCTGTCATTGCAAGAGAGAAGTCTAGGTGATCTCAGAGAGAGAAGGAACAAATTTTTTTAAATCGTTGTTGACAAACGGTGGCGCGTAACTGCAGCGTACTCTGCCAGAGCCGCCCCAGAGCAGGCGTTGGGCAGGTTTGAGCAGGCGGTGCTCAGTAAGGGCTGCGTGACGGCAGGACAGAGCACACCTGGGCAGGTACTCAGAAGCTAATTAGCGCTGATACGCGGCTGGCGATATCGTCTCTAAAGCGGACATTTCTGCTCTATCGCTGCTCTGTCGCGTCTCTACGTCGGCTCTGCAGCCGGCGACGGCCTGCTCTATTCCCTGCCCTAAATTTTAACTGGGAAGTATGATCATAAGAAAACAGATGATCATAAGAAAGTGACATATTGGCGTTATTGGCTGGTATGATACACCTGAGAAGGTCTTTAAATGATTTTATTTGATCATTTCTCGCTTCTACGTGCAACATCATCTCATATTCAGCGAGTTTCTGCACCGCACATCCTGGTCCCTTCAAGTACTCTTCCAAAATGTACTTCATCAGAGAAGTTTTTCCTTTACCTCCTTCTCCACTTAAAATAATCACATCAGGTAATTGAAAAGCGTGATTTCTTATTTCCAGTATATTGTCGCAAGGAACTTCAGGTTTTGATCAGCACCTTTGTTCTTTGTCTTCTTTCACTTCAACTCTCGCGAAAACCTGCGTCGGGCTGGCTTCGTATCGTTGATGCAAGGCCCATGGTGCTGGCTCAATTTTGTATAACTTTTGAAAAAGATCTTCAATTCCGTCGTAGCTCTGTTTCAAGAGTTCATTTTTTACCTGAACTTGAAAGCATCTTTTTCATTTATCAGGCGGTAGAAGAGTTCTTTGTCATTTGGATCGAGTAGTTCACGAATTTTTCCGTAAACATTCATGATATGTGTTTCTATCTCGCATACTTTTTCGTCCACTTTAGCTTTGTCAATAGAGGCTCAAGCTCCTGCATCGTGCAAGATATCAGTTAAAGTCTTGCGGAGGCTCTCGATTGTCATGCGTGTCTCTTGCTCTGTGAAAATTTTCTCCTCGTGTGCGAGAGCGTTACGGATCTTTTTAATGGTCTGAAGCTTGAATTCTAACAAAGGATTTACTGGATTGCTGTTCACACTCCACTTTAAGTCAGTGATGGGCCTCAAACCACAAATTCTCTGCACGAGCTTATAACATAGCGTTATGTCGTAGCCACTCAGAGATGCATTACTATCGATTTTAGATCTTTGTTCTGTGTTGAACTCGCGCTTATATTTTGTTTCAGAAAAGCCAGGGCTTTGTTTCAGTTTCTCTTTGATGTGCGTGTTCTCAATTTCGCCTAACCATTAGATCACGAGCAGCATGACATCTTTACCAATGTTTTCCACCACAAAGTGACACCTGTATTTGTAGAGTGCATTCTCGGGTATACCCAACATCATGACAGGTGTGTTTGTCTTTGAATTCACTTTCAAATAAAACTGTGTGTTCTAAGCGAAATATTTGAGAACACGGAATGTTTGCCAGCAAAAGTAAAAAGTAACCGAAGTACCTACACTCGAGGATTGATGGTACTTCCAAACAGTGGTTTAAATTTTGCAGTTGGAAAAATTCTCCTTAATGAAGAATCATATAATATAATATTGTGCACTTAATTATTGAGCTGCATAGTGTTGACCATCACAGAAAAATTGGCTTGTATGAATTGATTAAAACTAATGAAGAGCGCTAACCAGCCTATGAAACGAGAGTACTATATCTTGCCAATAGGACTTCTTGGGAATCGAGGAATGATTTTTTATGACTGAATTGGAATTTGATGATTAATGGGAGCTTTTGTGTAAAAATTATTCATCGCGAACCCTGTACTGTGGAAATTTGTAGCGTTCTAAGGCACCCAGCAATTTCTATATGCATTGTGGTATGTATGTTATGCGTTGCTCTTTGAACATTGCGCTTCTACGGCCCTGCTTGTGTGCGTGACTTTGCAGCTGACTGGAAGCTCGAGTTAAGTCAGGCGTTGCAAGCCGCGCTGATTAGTTTACGGTCGCAATTAAAACAAATGCAGATACGTTAGATAAAATATGCAGCTTCCAATTTACACTTGGAACAATCTCATGCTGCAACACTTCTACTTGGGACGAATACCAGACAACTCATTCATCATAAGGTTGTAATCACGCGAAATCTGTTAGGTAGTTATTTTAAGGGGAGCGTCTGGCCAAAATTTTATCTCGGCTATTTACAGATTAATCACTTTGAAATTTAGTACACATGTATAAAACCGAAAAATATACAGCTTTTATTCATGTCAATTTTTCGAAAAAATTAAAGGAAACGTGAAATTCTTAGAAAACGGCCGAAAATAGGTGTACTGTAGAAATATATCTCCTCCTAGGATTTTCAAGCTACAACATCGAGACGCATATCATTCGATGCGTAAAGACCATGTTCATCGAATACTCTTGGCGTTTTTCGAAATTCGAATTTTGATGGATGAGGGAGCATTTTTTGCAAAATTTTCGAAATTTTTTCGATTTTCCCCTATTTCTCCACCCTTTTTTCAAAATATTTTCACAACTATAACGAAATTTAAATAGAGATAAATCGATAGATATTTTAATTGCGAATCGAATGGTATATGTCTCATCACTGTAGCTTCAAAACTCTAGGAGGAGACAGGTTTGCAGTGACAATAAGTTAATTTTTTAGTAGAGCTCGACAATGTCCCCGGCGCCTCGAAATAAGCGTTCAAGGTGGCACGAATGCAAGACTAGGCGATACTGGAGCTCAATTCCTGTCAAGGATGGTGTGAACGACGACACGCAAACCCTCCCGTACAACTGCAGGCGGATAACTGAAGCACATCGTATTTGGACTAGCTATTTAAATGTGCTACCGGTAATTTCCGCCGATCTTAAATGTGAAAGAACTCCACCACCCCCACCCTTTCGCGATCTGTCGTGAACGCATAAATCAACGTACAGAGATGATTTAGGTACCGTTGGATAAAGCAGAATCTCAGCTTTAATATGAGACTAAAAACCGGAAAAGCCAAAATTCAAAAATTTTGGCCAGACGCCCCCCTTAACAGGTAATAAACGGAACATGATTATATTCGCTGTATAAGAAAGCTTCAATTTGTATTTCAGTACTGTACGTTAATTTTGTAACCTTGAATATTTAGATTTGGCTGCTTGCAGCAAATAAAACTGCGCAATTAGCATTCAGTGAAATCGTCTATTAAATATTTCGCTCACGAACAAGCAGCTCGAGGTCCAGGCACAAACTTGAATGACGCATAAGGCAAGCGCTGTCACATCTCAGTCTGGCGCTTCTATAATGTGACACTGCTGCACTCTGAGACGGTGCGTACGTGAAATTTATTGCAACTAAACGGAAAATTTTATGTATTCATCAATCGTCAACCATAGCTCTTAATTCGATTATACTTATATACGTTGACTACCTACTCATTTTACATTTTTTATCATAATCTTCATATAACTGAAGCACACGCTTGAGCTTTGTCAAGTAGGCATGCGGTTAAGTTTGAGGGTTCACGTTAATAAGACGCTGTTTCGTTTGACTTTCTGTAGTTAGGCTCATTTCAGAATGAGATTAATCATTGAGAATCCCAGTTTCATTCACAGACTCTAGAAACGCAACATTTAAAAAGAACTTTGCATTCTTTAGGACAATGAAAAGAGTGTTCTGCTCCTTCATAATTAAAATAACCATATAAACTATTAGACTAAGATTTGCCCTGCACTTCTTGAACCCTGTCAACTGCTGGAAGCGCCATGGGCGAAGCTTCAATATTACGACGCTCGTTCCCTAAGCTGAGATGACTTAAGGCTAAAAATAGTTGTTAATTTATTACTTTTAATTTACGCTTGGTATAATTCCTCCTAATCATTTCTCTTATTTGCACACAGCACTTTGTCGTACACTCATATCCATTCTATCTAACACGAAGAAAATCGAGGTTCAATGGTGGTTTCTTATCAATGTTTGCGAGCTCAACTCTTTTTCAAGTCAGGAAAAACTGGACGAACCTGCGTTTTTTCATGATCTACAACTCAACCATTCAGCGCTTGGCGCGCTCAGGCTTCTACGCTCTAGAAAGGGCGCAAAAACAACTGACGGGCAAGATGTCACGAATACAACGACATTCCGGGTAGACATCATACCAGGAGGGAAAATTAAAATAAGCCTGCATACGTAAAGAGAGAATTATTCTGTTCACTTGTTATTCAGAAACAAACGAATGATTGAAGAAAACGAATTAATTAAACATTTTGTTAGTTTTTTGGTGTTTTAATTCAAGCTGCAATTAAAGGGAAAAAACGAAACTTTCTTCATAAATTGAAGAAAGTTGTGTTAGATCGTCACTCATTCTGAAAAACATGACACCCTTCACGGAAATAGGTAATAAATGCACGTGCTCTTAAGGGGAGCGTCTACTCTAAAAATTGAAATTTTCGGCTTTTCCGGTTTTTAAGCTCATCTTAAAGCTTACTTTCTGCCGAATCGAACGGTACTAGAACCATCTCTGTACGTTGATTTATGCGTTCAGGACAGATCCCGAAAGGGAGGAGGGTGGTGGGGTCCCTTCACAAAAGTCTATGGAGATAATTACGGCCAAGCCATATAAAATGGCTATCACTAGCTGGACCTGCAGCTCAGTTATCACTCAGCCATAATGCGGAAAGGTAACACCTTTATTTGTATTGGGAAGCGCCATGGGCGCTTGCTCGTCCTATGCACCGCTGACTGACTTTGAAGCGAGATAACGCTTACTTCCGGTATCTAAGCTACGTTATACATGCCTTTATTTTGCGCGCCACGGTTTTTCGCCTCTACTGAGAAGTTTGAAAACATGAAAACCTCTCTCACGGCAAACCTATCTCCTCCTAGAGTTTTTAAGCTACAACAATGAGACATATACCATTCGATGCGCAAGAAAAATCTATACAAATCGCTGTAGGCGTTTTTCTGATTTCGTTATAGTTTGGATTTTATTCCGCAAAAGGGGGTGTGGGGGGGGGTAAAATCGAAAAATTTTCAAAAAATACCCCCACACCCACAAAAATGAGAATTTCCAAAAACGCGTACAGCGTTTTTTAGATATGGTCTTTACGCATCGAATGATATGCGTCTCGATGTTCTACCTTGAAAATCCTAGGAGGAGATAAATTTTTACGGTACCCCCTTTTTTGGCTGTTTTCTAAGATTTTCACGTTTTCTTTCATTTTTTTCGAAAAATTTACATGAACAAAAAGTCTTAGATTTCTGCTTTACATATGTGTGCCAAGTTTCAGAGTGATCCGTCTGTAAATAGCCGAGATAAATTTTACCCTAGACACTCTCCTTAACATGAGTCACACGTAATACTTGGTAGCATTTTCTCACAGAAGCATAGTTCAGCATCAAATTTACACACCAACCGTCTTGATACATCACACGTAAGCAAACGTGAACGCCAGCAGTTCATAAATTGATGAAATTGAGCTAAATGACCGCATTCACTGCAACAAACAATGCAATGGCGTATGCAAGTTTGCGCGCGCATTAGGCAAACCTTTTCTTTAGAGGGCCCATATACTCATACTTTGTATATTGCATTCGCTGTTACAACTGGTGAACCTACGAATAAGGATGTAGGCGATGGTATTTGGTGAACACAATTTACAGTATTTAAAATAACCACCACCTAGCATAGAATTCTATAAATTTAGTGAAAACTTTGAACAAATAATATTAATGTGAGCAAAGAATCATTGTAAGGTATACTTGCTAACGGGCCGTTAGCAAACTTACCTGGCTACAACATGCATATGGCAGCAAACCGTAGCTTGCCGCCTCTCTCTTGATATTTAAATATATGCAGAGCTGGGCAGCGCTACTTGGAAATGTAGCGGCGCTACCGCTACCGCTACATGCTCTAAATGTAGCGGCGCTACCGCTACCGCTACATGCTCTAAATGTAGCGAGCGCTACCGCTACCGCTACACCCACTAGATTGTAACGGGCGCTACCGCTACCGCTACAGTAAAATGTAGCGCGCTACATTAGCCGCTACAATGGCCAAAATTATTGGAAATCTCTAAATATTTATTGTTCTGCTATTGGGATTTACTCATTAACATTTAATGATAATAAAACATTTTTAAAACATATCAATGCAACTTTATTGCAATTAACCTAACCGAATTAGTATGGGTTTACCCAGGGTTAGATACGGTAAATAGAAGTTACAGTTATTTTTATGTTTTACCTTCCCTACATGGATGTGAACTTTAATCTATCAATCTAAGAAATTATCCACATATACATATAAAAATCACTTTTTTTATATATATGTGGATTATTTTTGAGATTGATAGATTGAAGTAGACATCCATGTAGGGAAGGTGAAACATAAAAATAACTGTGTAACAATTACTGTAAGCGAACTGAAAGATGAAAAAAACCTGTATGTGGTAACTGGTAACAGCTTAACAAGTAACAACTAACATGTTGACACTAGTAACAGGCTGAGGTTGACAACATTACACCGAAATCTTTCGTACAGTTTTATTCTGTAATTAATATTATGTATGTATCATGCAGGTTTTTAAATATTTTAAATATAAAGATATGCTTTAACAATATGTACAAAGATTTATTTGAATTAAATCTGTATATATAGATCATTACTCTCGTTAATTACAAAGTGTTTGCACTCGTTTGAAAGCTACAAACGAGACGCTCTCGTATCGCTACTTAAATATGTAGCGGGCGCTTCCGCTACCGCTACATTGCCTTAAATGTAGAGCCGATACCGCTACCGCTACTGAAAATGTAGCGGCCGCTAGTAGCTGTCCGCTAGTAGCGGACATGTAGCGCGCTACTGCCCACCTCTGAATATATGCCACCCACTGACGACCCCGCCAACCAGCTTAGAAGTAGAAACTCATCGAATGAGTATTATTTTACCTAATGAAGTTAAAACTCATCGAGTAAGTTAACAGTATCACGAATTTACCGCAGTAGCAGAAATGCAACTATACAATAGCGTCTAAAATATAAATAATACGACAAATAAAATTAGTTGTGATAAATTACGTAAGTATGGGAGCAGCCTAATACTTTGTGAGAGCACATTTTTCGTTTTTGGAAATGATATAAATAAGAAAGTGATTTTCAATTTTCATACACCGAATCAGAGTCGCGGTCATCACGACAAAAACCGGTCAAATAAATAAAAATATCTGCTTCATGTGCAGCGAAAATCGCTTCTAAAATAGTAGGTTCTTGAATTACATGAGAAGAAAATTGACGAGCATTGAATACCTCAGTCGTCTCTAGCTCCAAATCTGATGATTGCGATACGCCCGAGTGTAGCCTGTTACCTTCTTTATACGTGCGTCAACTGCTGCTGATCGCGTCTTGCACGACAGAGTGCCGTTACCGTGTTTTTAACTGCGCTGCTGCGAGCTAACCGCCGCATGCATCTGAAATCTGATGCCGCACTCTACACGATCTGGTGCTTAAAATTGCCCACGAACTACTTGCCTCACTCGTTCCTGCATTGGCTCAGGCGCCGATTTTGCGGGGTTAACTCAGATGTACAATTAGCTCCAATTGTCCTCTTGATTTTAAGCCAATATTCTATAACAGATACGCCAATGACACCTTTTCAATTTTTAAACATCCCTCCCATGTCAAACCATTTTTTGATTACTTAAACTCGCAACATAATTCTATAAAATTTACCATGGAGCTTGAATCTAACAATAGTTTGTCCTTCCTCGATTGCAATGTTAGCAAATCTAATGGCAGTTTTTTTTACTTTTGTGTTCCGAAAACCGACAGTCACCGGCCTTAGTACTACTTTCTTAATTTTGGTTCATTTCGGTTTAAGTTGTATGGGCTTCAAACATTATTATACAGAGGTTTTGGCATTTGTTCTACATACCATGCTATGCACGCTGAATTTGAAATTTTTCGCAATATTTTCTCGCTTAATGGATCTCCGGCAAGTTTGGTTTTTACCAAAATCAAAAAATTCATGTCGAAGCGATAGTGTAAGGTTGCTCCCGAGCGCGATTGTAGGAACGTTATTTATTGTTATTTTCCATACTTCAGCCCTGCATCCGAAGCTGTCTCAAGAGTATTAAAAGTCTTGTCCGTTAGATACTTGCCAAACGTCAGTCTTCATATTGTGCTGGTAAACAATTTCAAAATTGGTTCTTTCTTTAGATATGAAGTCATGCCGTCTGTTCATATGCGATCGTCCCTGGTTTATGAATATTGTTGTGCACGATGTGCATCTGCGTACGTCGGGATGACGTCAAGCAATCTTTATTCCAGGGTCGCTGAGCATACGGGAGGAGTTGTAGGACCGGGCAGTTGCTGTCGCGCTCGCCTCATTCGGCTGTGCGCACTCACGCCGAGCAGTGTAATGTACTTGTTTCTGACAGTGACTTTAGGGTGCTATATTCCACCTCTGGTACTTTAGATTTGTGTATTTAAGAATCCTTGTACATTTTTAAACTTAGGCCCAGTTTGAATTCAGCTGTTAGCTCCTATCCCTTTGAAACTGTGAATGGATAGGTTTTTTGTGCTCTATGATTTGTAAATTCATGTTTTTAAGTGCGTTCTGTGCTTTCAATTGTAATAATTTGTAACTTTCTATATAAATTTTAATTCTGTGAACTATCGATGGAGCTGGATTCCGAAACGTTTTCTATGAAGATATGATTTTTTTGCCTATTCTTTGCTTTTAAATTTACTTGCGATTAGGCAAACATGTGATATCAATTTTTTAAAAGTTTGTCCAAAAGCTCCGGTTTGGACTCGGTGAAAATTTTAATAAGCACCTTTTCAGCATTTCGAAGTCACCCCCAATGGCTGCTGCTTCGCGGAGATTGTTGAGCACGTCCTCGGGCAAGTTGCCCAAGATATGCCAATACTTGGTAGCAGAAGTTATGCGTCCCATTCGGAATTGTCTAAAACGATGCAACCCATGTACATATGAAGTGACCTCATGCAGCGGCGTAGCCGACTTTTGCCGGTCACGCTTGAATCTCTACTTGTGTTGTAGAAGTCGGACTAGCCGATCACGGTTCCGCTCGCTTCCTTAGATTTTGAAGCCTTAGTTTAAGTGTACATATTAGACTATATTCATCCTTGAAATTTAAACTTCAGTTAATTTACATCCCAATAGATCTTTGATGGAAGCAGCACGATACAATTTGATCATGTGTTTGATCGTACAATTCATATGGTCTCCTTTCATTAACAGCCAAACAGCTAGCAGCCTGTTCACGTATATCCAGAATTTCATTAAATATTTCTGAATTTCAACGAAGGCCCAACCAAGAAACAGGTAGCCTTTCATCCGAAGCTTTTTTTTTACTTAACTTCTGAGCATTATCACCCAATCAGAGAATATAAATATTTTTGTTTTCATTTTTATGTTTGTTTTTTTTCATCGAAGTTCAAAAATATTATTTGGTACTCCATCTCCCAGAACCTTTTATTTGAATTTTATTATAGTATTAGGGCCATCGGGTTGGCCGATATGCCTTAACGTTATATTTTGCGAGTGTCATGCGAGGGAGGTCAATATTCCGTGCTGGTTAATTCTTAAGGTCCAACTGCTCGCCTGAGGTTGCAGATATTTTTATGCATTCGCTTGAGTTGTGTTTTCTCGACAGGACACCGGGACTTGTTCTGTAGAAAAATATGGAGATTACGCTCCCATTCTAAGTGAAGCAAGTAAAAATGAATTTCACTCACTTCTCGAGCAACTGAAATTGATGCTTGAATCAATCCAATATCTCTTAAAAGCGAGCAGCTCAGGACCAAACCTTCAAATTAATGGGGTAAAAAGTTATGCGAAAATATATGACCAAGTCATTGCGTATGTATAGAGGATAGATTTGTTTGTGTTTTCCTTTTTGATTCGAATAACATCTATATATTATTATATTCATTCATAGAGCTTTGTTTCACCAAGGGCGAAAAATTGCATAGGCTAGTCTACAGGATGAAGTAAAGAGACAGTGGGATTTTATAATGTGGTTTTATACTTGGGCCAATTATCCTAAGTCTTGGTTTCTCAACCTTTAGGTTTTAAAATGTTGCCGTTATTTTCTTCATTTTCTTCGTTAGATAAGCTTCTCACTCTCAATCCTCAACTAGACATACTATATTGACATGAGCAATTAACTAAAATTCTTGTAGGATGGTTATTGGAAAAATAGTAGGCTCCAGCAGGCAGTGTTATAGCAGGTCCACTCGCGATGGTTGCACACACTTCAAACTTCAATTCCACAGAGCACAAATTAATTAACAGTATACATTTTCTTTTCATGTTTTGAGATGGGTTACAGCCTGCCCAATATGAGTTTTCCGATTAGCAGCGCGGTGACCCGAGAAGCATGTAATGTCAGGCCTTTTTCATCGATCAGCTGCGATCATATCACATTCAAAATGGACATCAACATATCAACAATTATATTCCGAGTGAACGTTGTGGGTTGTTATGATCGGCATACCGTATTATAATTGTTTGTTTATTTGAATCCGTATTTATCTATGTCATTCTAAAATTTTCTGAGCTCATCTTTAATTTTCTTAACGTATTTGTATCAATTTTTAGTCGGACTTAGGAACTAAACAAATGGTTGTTTGGAGAAATCATGTCTGTCGTTAGGGAGAATATTTCGATAGGAGTCAGTCAGTGGAAGCCGATTGTGGAAGTTATATGCACTGTGTAATTAAGTTCATGAATTCAACGTCTAAAATTACTGTGTCTTGTTTATTATCCTCCAAAAGGCAGTGTGCTCCCGAGCTCTACGATCGCATAAGGCTTTTATGAAGTGGCAGCCACGTGTAGTATAGTTTCTTCAGCATTGAAGAATAGGCCTGGATAGGCCTGTCGCCGATTCTTGTACTTTTCTTGACTAAACTGGCCTTTTGATCAAATCTTTCCAACGGACGGTAGATTTATAATCGCTTCAAGATATCAGTCGTTCCGTAGGGTACGAGGCATTTCAAGACTAAACATATGCTCCTGCATGGCCTTGTCTAGTCTGTTCTTGAAGTCGTTCATACTCGGAGCGTCAACAATATCTTCAGGGAGGCTGTTCCACATGTCGGTGACTCGAAGCGAGAAGAAATGTTGTCGCGTGGATAAGTTGCACCGCAGTTTTTTACAACGCTTCTCTTTAACTTCCCTTTTTGTTGTTTGTCAGCTACAAATCTTATAATCGATATTTAACACACTTCAACCTGTCTAATCGATCTGAAATTTTGCACACTTGCATAAAGTCGGAGACAATGCATGAATCAATTGACAGAGTTAATAATTCTAAAAGCTAAAAAATTTATATATTAAAAAAATTTAAAGTAATTTTTTCAAATATTTAAAAATAAATTAATAAATTCAGTGTACAAGTGTAACATCGGAGACACTGGCATCTTTAGAAGTGTTGTCTTTAAAAAGAAATTTTTAAACGCATATTTTTGAAACTCTTAACTCAAATGCGTAAATTTCATACACTCAAATGCGTAAATTTCATACTTGAGAAATGTTTGTCATATACATTATATATGTCCGGTGTGAAAATGGATTTGAAACTCATTATTCGGTTAATCACACATATGTTGTTCGCGGGGATGGATTTCAAAAATATCTAAAATAACGGCCTCTTACACATTGGTAAAATAATGTTAAGTTATTAATGACGTCATAATCGCAATTTCACATGTACGCTTCACATAGTCATTTAGTTCAGACCTCCAGTCGTCCGCCCGAAGTTTTCTTGAATTCAGTTAGTCAGTAGCAGTTCAGAACTGTCTTTGTGGCGAAATATTTCGGTAAGTTACAGTACCTCAGTGCTACAACTTACTAGTCTTTCATTCTTGATTATGATCTGATATTTACATGGTTTACTTTTATTTAATTCTGCTTGTTTTTCTTATAGATAGCTAATATTTCTTATGTCATACTTGCAGAAACTATGATTTCAAGATTTTTCAATGAAACTCTTTGAAACATGAGTATCGAAAATTCGCCTAAGCCTAGGGCTTAACAGACGTTTTATAAAAAATATTTCAGTACCAGCCCTCTGAAAATAATGAAATTACGAAATAATTTCGTGTCAAAATATTTATGAAAATTTATCACGTAAACAATTTCCTCTACAGGATAACACCCAGCCATGAATTACGAGTATGTGAAATGTTTTACTTTGCTGAGCAGTCACGAATTTTTTACTCTGGGTGTTCTTACATAATTTTATAAATAACTTTTTCAATGAAAATGAATGATGACATTCAGGGCCTTTGCAACATCGTTTGAACCTGGCCATATCTCACGCATTTTTGCTCACAATCGGCAGTTAAGTGTGAATAGGTCCTACGTTTAAAGGAGTTCAGTTATTAAAGTAGCACAATTATAGCTCAGAACTGCCATTTCATGGCTTTGTCAAACTATTTCCTTGTTGCAAAAAAAGCCAATCTTGATAATTAGTCAAGATTGGTCTCGATCTGTTGATAGTGGCATGGTCTCGATCTGTTGATAGTGGCATGGTCTCGATCTGTTGATAGTGGCATGGTCTCGATCTGTTGATATTGGCATGGTCTCGACCCGTTGATTAGTGACATGGTCTCGATCTGTTCAAGAGCCTCTGTTAGTCATCGGATCTCGGCACTTATTACGTCTAGAGCAGCATTTCCATCAATTCAATTCTGTATTGTGATAATTTCAGGTATAAGGTAGTCTAGTGTCAGCCTTGTCTCGTTGCAAGCTGCTTGCCGCTAGGGTTCCAATAATATTAGCGGATTTTAGTTGACTGTTGGCTCCTGTAAGAATACAAATCGGTTGAGTTTTGTTGTGAGCCTAGGTTGCTTCGAGCCAGCTGTGGTTTATGTGCGCTGATTTGCAGCTGCAGGAGGGGCTGGTTGAGTGGTCATCGCGTCTGGAGAACCGGGCTGTGGAAGTGGCGGACAACGGCGGCTACACCTGCCACTCCCGCAATAGCCACGGCCACTCAGCCGCGGACTACACCTTGCGATCACCCAAGCCTCCTGCCACTCCCATCAATATCACGGTATGATGAGTGGTCGCGGGTGACTGATGAGTGGTCATTAGTTGATATTAAGTGGCCTCAAGTCTATTATGAGTGGTCTCGAGTGGATGAAGAGACCGCCCTCCTTTTTTATTGAACTTTGTTGGCTTATTCTCTTCGTTTCCTGAAATTAAAATTACGTTTCTCCATTATTGGAATAACTCTGAATGGAGTTCTGATTCTATCTCTTTAAACATTTAATTTGTCCTCTCAAGGTGGTAAATTTAACGACGAGCAGCATGACATTAAAATGGACCTCACCGACGATGGATGCGCGTTTTCAGAATGATATTAAGACTTCGGGAAAACTCGCACAAAATCGAGCGGGATTAGCATAGTACGGCAGTAACCTGCATCACGACCAACACCACGAACAAAACCAACGCTATTCATACGATCAAAACAGGGACAGCAAGAGCTGCTCATACAGAAAGAGCGTAAAGATCATTCGTCAAAAACCAGACAGAGCTGGACTGATCCTTACCAGGATTGGACGATCAGTTCAGGAACAAAGCGTTCATTTCTCACGTATATTGTGCGTCACCAGCTCGCCGGCACCAATGAGGTCATGGTAAAGATAGCGTAATCTTAGCCTCCTTCTGTTTTATTTAGGTACCAATGTAATGGTAGGAGACAGGTAATTAAATGCTGGTAGTATACTCCGTAGAGTTTTCCGCTATGGATCCCAAAAAGGCAAAAACATTCATGGCTTTGTCGGACAATACAGTCATCTTACTTTATCCTTTCAGAAAGTAGGTTCCAAATTTTTTTAATAAATGGAGAAAAATGTGCTACCTGTGTCGAAAAAGTTTGCATTCGGTGTGGCCACATCTTCATTGATTTAGATTGAAAACAGTTT